TGAGAGCTCAGCAGACATTTGTTTCACTTTCACTTTCACCAGAGAGCCTGCAGGAGTCACGGGCGGGGTGTGTGGGGGCGGGGGCGCTCTGCCATGAGGAAGTTCGGCTTAAAGACACGTCCCAGGGGCGTTTTTGGTCCCCACCTGTCGTTTTGCTCCTCAGCATGGCTGCCTAAAAACGCTGCAGGATTTCTCAAACATGCATGAATGAGTCAAAGCAAGGCTTTGGACATATTCATGATATAAAACTCAAAAAGTTGATTTTACATGATATTGCCCCTTTAACCCTGTTTGATTCTTTTTATTGTGCAGAAGACCAACCAGTCCCTGAGTTACCTGGCGATTGTGGGCGTTTTTGCCTTCGTTGCCAGTTTTGAGATGGGTCCTGGTCCAATCCCGTGGTTCATCGTGGCTGAGCTCTTCTCTCAGGGGCCTCGACCCGCTGCCATGGCCGTCTCCGGTTGTTCCAACTGGACGGCCAATTTCTTGGTTGGGCTGGGATTCCCAAAACTGGAGGTATTTCTAACACCTACGGAAAATGATTCCATTTAAATCTGTTAAACGTTTCATAATCAATGTCTTTCTTGTCGACTCAGGAACTTTGTGGCCCGTACGTCTTCCTCATCTTTATGGTCTTTCTCATCGTGTTCTTCATTTTCACCTACCTGAAAGTCCCCGAAACCAAAGGTCGAACCTTTGACGACATCGCGCAAGGATTCGCCGCCAGGCCTGTCCAGTCCTCGGCGCCTGATGCAGTGGTTGTCAACCCGCCAGCCAGCCCAGAACCCGCACCCTTATCCCCCACAGAGAAAGTCCCCATGGTGGATCTTCCTGCAGAGAAACATTAAGTGACTGTTTCAGACAGACGAGCTTGTGTCTCGTAAGAGTCATATCTGCCAGATACTGAAGAACAGGAGGGGAAAGCAAGTCCTCTGTGGCTGCAGATTTTTTAAACAGGAATTTTAAAGTGCCTTTTTTTTCCAAAATGAAAGTATTAAAAAAAAAACAATCCCAATCAGAATTCCTTTCATAAATTCCAGTAATCCTGGCTAAACTTGACTGTACCAAAAGCGCCTAATGTTTAGAGACGTTTTCAGTGCTGGCTCACAGCATTGTGCAACATAAGAGGATCAGCATATATTCAAGTTTTCAGCTGCCCTCAGTGGTGAAAGGTTGCAGGCTTTAGTGGGGTTTATGTATTGAGGTCAAGCACGAAAATCCGGTAGTTTGACCTAAAAAGAGGCGGACTCACTGTCCTACAAATCTTAGTTAAAGCCCTGTTTGAGGAAGAAAACGGCTGTTTTTAGTTGTTTAACCAAACCCCTAATTAATAACTGAAAATGTATTTTATTACATCATAAAGCACCTGGCAGACAACAGTTTCTTCTAACTGCAGCATACAAAGAACAGCATCAACAGTTCTTTCATGTACCTGCATTAGATCTAATTTTTCTCTGAAGATGATGACGATGAAGCAAAGGAAGACAGAAAAAATCTTTTTTTCCTCTTCTAAACACAAACATAAGCTTCTCTGCCTTCAGGATTTTACTGCAAGAAACAACCAGAATAACCTGAATCAACTCAGGAGGTTAAAATCTGTAAATATTTGTATTTTATAGTTAATATAAAGTAAACAGCGTTGTCCATCAGTGTACTTGAAAATCTTTCTGTGTTTGTCGTAACTCTGAGAAAAGAAATCGTAGCCTCAAAGATCACAAAATAACTTAAATCCTATGATTTAGTATTTAAATTATTTACCAGTTTGATATAAAATGTCATTTGTTCTCGTCTGCTGATAACTGAGCGCACATCCTGCCCAGTGGTGTTAACTAAAACACTAAATGAATTGTATTTATTTAAGTGGTTAACACAGAAAATGTCATTAAAGGTGTTTGTTATTAAAGATCATGTGCACATGTTGTTTAGCTCGTAAATGCGTGTTTGTTGCACACACAGGAAGCTCTTTTCTTTGAGCTCAGCAGCTTAATAAATATTTATATTAAATGTGTTTTTAAAATTATTATTATTATTATTATTATTATCATTATTATTATTATTATTATTGCTTTTTACCATCCTATGAGATCTGTGTTTTCTGTCCTTATTTCTCATTCTGCACTGTCAGTAAAATAGTTACAACAAACGCTGCTTCAGTTCACAAATTCACATTTGTGGGATGTAAATTTCGCCTTTTTTGTGTGAATAAAAAGAAAAAAGTTGTGCTGAGAGCATTTTGTCAAAACAAGTTTGTTGTGGTTAACTATTAACCTAACTTTGCTTTGCTAAGCCTGACCCAAAGAGAATTATCTCTGCATCATGATGGCTCCATTAGCTTTTTATCGTGGTAAAATCACTTCAGTGAGTGGAGCGAACCATCATCTTGTTACACAACTTCAATAACCACAAAGAAATGTCGAATGATGACAATTTCTGACATCATCAATGAATTTATGCATAGCTTAGTTTTTCTTTTTTTACCTCATGCCATTAATATAATTCAATAAAATATGTGTATGTTGGGGATACAGTGGTGCAGAAGTTAAAGAGGTGAGCCTTTGGGTTGCTGATTCAAATCCCCTGTTCGTCACATTAAAAAATGTGGGTGGGAAGACTCACTCTGGACCCTGAACCCCACATCTGCTCCCCCAGACTGCCACACATGTTGACTGTGGTATCTCGGTGGTCTGTGGTCATTGGGTGTAAAAAAAGTTGTCAAATCATCACATGGCGACCCCTATGGGAGCAGCTGAAAATAAAAATGGTACATAAAGATTATTATTAAAACTTACTGAGCTGCCAATACAGGTCATATAATATTTAGGAATAAAAGAAATTGAGACAAATTATTTTGCTTTATTACAGGACAAGTGAAGAATGACAGAATTTTGTCTAAAACCAGCACATCTCTGACTGACAGTCTGTTAGTTTAACCTCCGACCTGTAATTACTGACCAAAGTGCCTCTCCTGGGGTTGTTACAAGTAAAACAAGGAAAGCATATGAAAGAGGATTAGGGCTACGATAAAAATAAGAAAATTTTTTTGATGTTTTCTCAGAATTCTGAGATAAAATTCTGAAAAAAAAAAAAACAAACATCAGAATTATGGAAAAATTAGTTTGTTTTTTACACCATGATCCCGATTCTTTTCTGTGAGAGTTAAACACAGTTTAGAGAAAAAGGAAAAGATGAGCAAAAAGGTATAATTTAATTGTTTTGTTTTAGTCTTTTATTTATCTATTTTTCTAAATGTGTACCTCTATAGTTTTATTCACGTCTGTAATAAACACATTTCTTTATGTTTTTTGGGTTCAGTCCTTTTTTTTCTTTTGGCATACTCATGATTCCACAGAAAATAAAATAAAAATGAATGAATAAAAGTTTCGATTCTGACTTTCCTTTTATTGTTTCTCTTCAGAACCTCAATGCCCCTTGGAGCACTTGGATAAAGAAAGACCCCACACCCACCCACCCACCCACACATACACAGCTGGCTGGGAATGGGGTCATCTAACTGTGTCAAACCATCGCACCACATCTTCCTGTAAGAGGCCTCAGCGGTCTGACTGATCACTGTGAATTGGAGCATGAAGGCCCGACAACATTCTGCAGTTCTGCAGGCCCACCAGCAAGGGGAGCTCACAATCCAGGAGGGTGCTTTTACCTTTGTACCGTCTGGCTGAGCATGGGCTCTCCCTGAGAGGTGGGGATAAATGAGGGGTTTGTTCCAGGAAGAGAAGGAAACCACATGAAGGATGGAGAGCATCCAAAACAGTGTTGAAATTATATTTATTTTCTGTAAAAGTAGAGGTGAGATCAAGACAAACAGGAAAAAGAAGTTAGGCTCTCTGACACGCCACAGCTTGAAAACTGCAGAAAGAGTCCAGACACGTGAGGCAGGGCAACACCGGGGTGGACGTTAAACATGTCTCAGCAGATGTTTTTACAGACCAGACCAACCCGTACTCATTACTTCCAACACATTCTTTCTGTCACTCATTCTTACGTTCGCTCTGTTCCCTAAAGTGAAGGCAAATGTTGTGAAGCAGGTTTCTGTTGGAAAGGTTATTAACGGTTAGTATCTTACCTGTCGAGGATAGCTCTTTGAACAACCTCAGTTTGAAGAATCGGGGTTTAATTCTGTCCCGTCCTGGTCCTTGAGGGGCCTCTACCCTGCATGCAGTCTTCTAGAGCATCAGAATACTTGAGTACAAGTATTTTGCCATAAAATTATTTTGGTAAGAGTACATATCTGATATAATATGTGCATAAGTATCAAAAGTATTGAGTAGAAGTGAGTGGAATTTCCAAAATGACATTTATTGGGAAGTGATCTACTCAAAAAGCATTTTTCTATGGGCCATAATGATTATAATGTTGTATTAAAATGTTAGTGTTGAATAATCTGGGATGTACCTGTTTCAGCTGCATGTACAGTACCTATGGCATGCTCATCTTCTACATACGTCTGTTAAACCAGAATGAATTAGGAGTAACATTTCTTACATTTTTTTAAAATGTAAAGAGTAGAAAGTTCAGATAATTGTGTGAAAATGTAATAATAAAAAAATGTCAGCTTAGTAATAATTACTCAAGTAAGATAACAAAAAAACACAATTTGTTATTTTACAACTTTGCCTGTGTGTTTTAGCAGGTCTTCAGGTTCTGCAGAAGCCTGTCAATCAATCATTCATTCAGATCAGCTGTGTGTGTTAGCTTGTCTCCAGGCTGAGGTTGTTCAGAAAGCTAACAGATCAGATAAGATTGATTACAAACATCCCAAAGAACACTTTGAAAATATCTGAACTATCACTTTAATCTCCCCTCGTCTCTGTCTCTGTTCAGCTCCCTCCTTTAGGCCGTCTACATCGAACGAGCCGCTCTGCAAATATTTCTCCTCCCTCCCTTCCATCCTCAGTCTCCTCCTCGCCTCCTCTCCTCCCGTCACCACCTCCTCCTGCTCTGTCACACGCTCACACTCCATCTCCCCCTCCCTCCCTCCCTCCCTCCCTCCCACCCGTCTCTGGTTTTCCTGCTCCTCTCCTCCCTTCCCTCCTCTGTCTGTCAGTGTCACCCTGTAGTGGAGATGTGGAGCGTCTTTCTGTCCCTCTGCCTGTTCTTCCAGCCTCATGCAGCTGAGGAAGGTAAGAGCCGAACTTCTGATTAGAGGGTTGAACCTGGAAACTTCATGCCTCTGCGTGTGTGTGTGCGTGTGTGTGTGCGTGTGTTTATGAGCTCTCACCTAGAGGAAATGATTGCTCTCTATTATCAAGACTTCTTGGATTTATTTGGACTTTGATGATGTGTGAAACTAAATGGCACCAAACACTGCAGCCAGCGCAGCGTTCAACCTGCAGCTCTGAACCCCCTGAATAATTAGCACCTTGCTCACACAAACCCTGTGTGTGTGTGTGTGTGTGTGTGTGTGTGTGTGTGTGTGTGTGTGTGTGTGTGTGTGT